TGCAGCAGGCGGTGCCGCGGGCAGAGAGGCGGCAGCTGCAGCAGGCGGTGCCGCGGGCAGAGGGGCGGCAGCTGCAGCAGGCACTGCTGGCAGGTCCAGAGCAGGCAGGTCCGGAACCGGCAAGCCAGGGACTGCCCCTTTAAGGGCTTTGGGCACCCGGGGAATGCCGTCTCTTACAACGCGTACCCCGCCTAGACCCAGGCGCGCCGGCTGGTAGTTGTACTTTTCCATCGGAGGTGGCTTCTCCGGGTGGGGGCTGGTCAGGCGGGTAGCGGTGCGGTCATCCCAGGCGGGGAGCAGAGAGCAGGCCCCCAGGAAGAGAGTCGGGGCGGCTTCTTCTCCCTTTCCCCTGCGCTTCTTCTTCCTCCTGCGGCTGGGGCTGATCGGTGGAGGCGGGCTTACCTCCGCCTGTGATCGGAGTCATCTCCTGAAGGAGGCGACCGCTCTTGCTGGCTAGCTGCCATAGCCCAGGGTCCTCACGGACCTCGGGCTGTGACAGCCAATACAGCACCTCGTCCAGCAGCTTGATGCGGCTTTCCTCAAGCTGCGGAGGTACGCTCGAGAGACTCGTCATTCTGTCACAATCGGGCTCCGGTGATCCGGGAAGCAGGGAAACGGAACCAGGAAGTCGGGTACAAATGGGGATTTATTGAAGATAGACGGGACCGGGGAAGCACAACACGAACATCAATGATGAGTCTGGGGAAGTCTGACTCAGACGAGGACTAAATACACTAGACTAGGCAAACGGAACAAGCAACAGGTGTGAACAATCAGGGCTGAACACGAGGTAACGAGGTGGGCGTGGCACACAGGATCGGACGGAGCGGGGCGTGACAATTAGTATTATTATTACATTTTAATTTAGTAGGTAGTTTATGGGTGATGTAGTTAGTTACGTGTCAGAAGACTTTGCTTTGGGTTTTGGCCCCTTTTTCTTGAGTTAGAATTCTGGGTAAATGAAAGCAGCTGGTTAATATGCTGGTTAATGCTGAGCGGTAAGCCAGTCTTTGGCTGTAGCGGGTTTATGGGGGTCAGTGTGGCTTAAGCGGCGGGATCGGCTGTGGGGAAGGACGGGTAGGTGAGCATTTCCCGCCGTTTCTCTCCTTCTTACTGCTGGCTGTGTGTTTTATGGAGGGAAGGATCTGAAAGTGTGAGGCTCAGGCTGGTGCCTGTCAGTGTGGTTTAGTCGGGTTTGGGTCGGCAGGTGTCGGTCCGCTTTGTTTCATTTCAGAGAGTCATTATTACAGTGATTTTACTGTTTAAGAGGGATGAGTCTCTGCCGGCAGGAAAGGAGGGGGGTGTGTCTATGACATCAGATACACTGTGGAAACCTTCTTGGTGTAGTGGGCCTTAAATTCAAGGAAACACCAGTTTGGTGGGGGGCACCTGATGACCTTGGTGATTTTCTGCCTGCAGACACTTAACCAGAGCGGCAGCTTTGCTGTAGTACATCTTAGCAGCTTGTCAAAGCCGGACTTTATAGGTAGTGAATACTGGGTATTTAGGGTATGTTGTGTAGTTAGAGGCTCAGTCTGTCTAACCTGCTGCTGTGTGGCTGTATGACAGCAGAGCCTGATGGTTTCTGTATGGTTTTTAAACTGGATACACTCTTCCTTTAAGCTTTCAATGAACTACTTATTATGTACTACAGTATGTGTCTAAAAAATCCGTACTCATCCTCATGATAATATGCCGATAATTATGACTGGTACCATGTGACGATGTATCATTAACAAGTAAAATAAATAGGACCACAAAATGCTTGAGGAGTGGAAGGGCTTCAAAATTAATGAGAAATACCCAAAAAATAGCAGACTTCAAACTTTGCCCTCCATGGAACCGATTGCCCCCCCAGGGTCTTGCAGCATCAAGTGGCACTTCTCCAGCTTGAAGCTACTGACTGCCTGAGCGCAGGGTGTGTTGGGGGGGGGTTGGATGACCACAGGGGTCAGGGTGATGACAGACTGCATCTGAGTCCAGGGGGCCCCATGTCAGGCTTCTCCAGCTTCATGGTGGGCCCTTTCTGTCCACCACGGCGGAGCAGAGGACTCCCTCCACTGTGACGGGGACATGCCAAAAGTTCACAGCACAGGTGTGGCCCACCACTACCACTAGGGGGCGTTGTCATCGGCTTCTCGGGGAACGGGTTTGGACTTCCCCATGTGTGTATAGCCCCTCCTCCCAGGTCCTCTGTGTCGTTAGCTGATGCCCCAAAGAGGCTCCCCCGGCCATCTGCAGCAACCCCCAAGTCCCCAAGGCTGAGCAGCAGGAGGCAGGACAGCATCGTCTGTGAGGCACACGGCCAGCTGCAGGGCCTGAACATGAATATGAACAGCCAAAAATAATCTGCATCATTACATTTCTGGGGAGGCGTGTACAGTACAGGCTGCATTGCAGCTTGGGTCCCCCCCTTCTTGGCAGTGTCTTCCATGGGTGACCCATAGGGGGCCCCGAATTAAAAAAAAAACATGTACATCACCATGGCATCTGATGTGTCCATTTTGCAGAGATCACTGCCGCACTGCCTGCTGTGGTATGTTGTATCTGGACCATTCCTGCTGACTGTGCATATGAGCTCATGTCACCTTCGCTTCTGATGCCATCCAGTGTGTCCTGGCTTGGTCCTGCCTTCACACCCTCATTTGTTGCCTGTGGTGCTGATAGGTCCACTTTGGGACATTATCCGCTCAACTCAGCCCTACAGTTGCTTCCAGTTCGGCAGATTGTCAGGTTTTTCATTTCACCATTTTTATTACACTGGAAAGTATCTTAGGGCGCTTTTCCACCACACCTGGTACCGTACTTTCGGTACTTCCATAAAGTACCAAAAGTATGGTACTTCTTTTGTATCGGTTTTCCACTGGCATAAAAACTAGTACCGGTGCCAAAAGACATCATCAGTGATCGCCCCTGACTGACATCATCACAAAGCGTGACACGATATTTCTTTTTGATTTTCAAGCGGCATTGTTCGGTGTTTCGCATGTGCCCCATTTCTTCCAAGCGGCTTGCTATTATGGCAAATACTTTTTTATTCCAAGTCGTGTCATCCAAATCCCGCTGGATCTGTTCATCCGACCATATGACGATTAAAGCCTGTATTTCCTCGTTTGTCCATCCTTCCGTTTTACTTTTTTTATATTTTTGTTTCTACTGCTTTTTATTTCATTTCTCGCTGTTCGCTGTGTGTATTTTTTGTTTCAGCGGCAGGCTATTTGCATAACCAATCGACAGCAAATACGTTTGTAAGTCCCACCCCAAAGTATCGAAGTACCAAAGAAGTACCCCAGCTGGTTTGGCGCTTTCGGTACTGGAACTTTTGGTACTGGTACTCGACCGGAAGTCAGTGGAAAAGCGAAAGTACCAAACCGAAAGTACCATACTTTGTGTGGTGGAAAACGCCCTTAATGTCTTCCTAAAGAAAGGCAAACCTGGTTAGAGCTGCCTCCCAAAACAGCAGGGGCCCCAGACCACGTTCAGATGGGGACTCGAGGGAAAGAGCTTTGAGTGGCGCTTCAGATATTCAACTTTTCCAGCTACACAGAAACCGGTCTGATTATGATGAAAAAACACGGCTGAGGTTTACAGGCCCAAGACCAGAATGTACAGCATAGAGAGCATGAAGGCTGTTTTGGTGACTGTAACAAACATACAGTGACCCCTGCTGATGAGATTGTTGTTCTGCTCCCTCTTGGGCCCCTCGACTGACCCTGAGAAGCCCAAGCTGATCCAGGAGCGGCTGTTGCTCCTGCAACACACCGACCGGTGCCTGCGATACAAGGAGGTACTCGGGGAATCATGGTCGTGTTCCATGCCCCACTGCGCCACCATGAGGGAGGTCCTGAAGCACATGACCCGCTGCCAAGCCGGCACGTCCTGCCAGGGTGAGTACAGGACTGCATTTCCGTTTCCACTCCTCTGGATGGATTCAGGATGGAGGAGGATTAATTTACCTTTGGTCACGCGTTCGCCTTCACTCCAGTGCCAGGTCTGTTTCTGCCACCTAACAGTCTGAACCCCTCTTTGTGCCCCTGCAGTGAAGCACTGCGCTTCCTCCCGCCGGATCATCTCAGAGTGGGAGATGGAGGGCAACAAATGGAGGTACAAGGTAAGTCCCCCCCCAGCCCCCCCTGTGGTCAGCTGGGCCCAGGCTGGCCTGCTCTCTTCCTTGGTTCATTTATCCCTGATAATTTGTCAGACCTGCACATCTATATCTAGGGTTTGTGTTTATCATCATTTACCATGAGGTCAAACATACCCCGTGTGCTTGTATGGCTGTGGCAGATCCTGTCAGGATGTGCTGTCAGTCAGAGTCAAGGCAGATACACATGGAGGCACAATAAGGGTTTGGCGTGTTTTGCCCCTGGGTTAGAGGCTGTTAAGGAAAGGCTGTTAATTTTATAGGACAGGCAGTGGGGGAAAGACGGCGAGGTGAGAGTTTGCTGGGCTTTTTTCTTCTTTTTGTTTTATATGCTTCATGGAGATCAGTCGTCAGCTTGAGTCAGTGTGTTTTCGTATGATTTGGTAGGTTATTGATGTATAATTATCAGTCTGTTTTAACAATGTAATTTATTTTAGCAATCATGTCATCATTATTATTATTATTGTTGTTATTATTATTATTATTATTATTTTAATTCAATAGGGAGTTTATGGGTAGTGTAGTTAGTTAGATGTCTTTTGGGCTTCAGTTGCAATTATGGGTAGATTAAAGCAGGCATGCGGCGTGTTTCTTAATCATTACTAAATCTTTCAGGTGTTCAGGAGATAATCCACATATCATTAAAAAAAAACACTACTAACCAATGGCCCCCAGGTTGCCTGAGTCTGAGAGCCCAGTTTTAGCAGGTTACCGGCCTACAGACGGCTCACATTTTGCTCTGCGGCATAACGTCATGGATGGTGTTCTCTCAGATGGTGTACAAAGTTTAATGTGTTGCCTGTTTTAGCCATTACACTTTTTCATCCTCTACAGATCGGCAAGTCATTCTCAAGAATAACTTTTTTCCTGAATCCAACATGTGTCCACAGAACCAAATGGGTTCTTTGGAGGATGCATTTCACTGTTAATGTTACTTACAGCCTCCAGTTCCTCAGAACAAACCAATATACTTTGACTGTCTTACCTACTTACCCAGCTAAACGAAGGGTGTTGTCCACCGTGGGGGGAGGTGTCACACCTGCGTTATGAAAATTACTGCAAATTGTCACAGTTTTAGGAATAAAATCTGAATTAATGTGAATTGGGAACACTGAATGTAACAGATATTTAATGTTATTATAATAGTGCATTTATATGTGACAGATATGAACATAGTGATGTCGTCATTAAAACCGCAATAGAGAATAATACTAACGATATAGCTCCTTTTTTTTTTTATTACGGTATACCTGAATACCATTGCACCCCTAGTGGATCCTCACTTTGGATCCATGGACACTGTTACCTGTCAGTTTTTAACAGCGTATTTCAATTGAATAAGGAGAGCAGCTTCTTAAAAATGTCTCCATGCATGAAGTTTAAGTATTTCATTTGATATTTGTTGGGATGCAAACCGTACTTTATTGTTTAGTTACTTCTAAACTAGTCATGCACAAGTCAAGGCAAATACCACTTTATGGTACCTGTCACGGCGGGAGCAGATAAGCAAGCGAAAGGAGCTGTACATACAAATAAACGGGGTTTATTCAGACTCAATCCTTACACAGGAACGTAAGAACTCGTAACATCATTGACACGACTGGTTAAACAGACTTGAACACAGACTGAAATAGACAAGACTGATAATGGGAAACGTAGAACAGCTGGTGAACGTAGGGATTCCACACAAGGTTAACAAGGGGGGCGTGGCACATGGAGGGATCGAATGATTGGGTGTGACAGAACCCCCCCCCCCCCCAAAGGCGCGCACACTGGACGCGCCCAAGGGGAGTGAAGGGACGAGACCGGGGACACAGGACCTAGAAAACAAGAGCAAAATAAAAAAGGTCAACAGGACACCGGGAACAGGACAGACACGCAGCACAGGTACAATGGAAGTAACCATGACAACAACTGACAAATGACAGGGAATGCAGACAGGCACAGGGGCACCAAGAACGGAGACATAGGGGGAACACCAACGGGAGGAATGAAGGGACCAGGAGGGAACGAAGGAGAAACAGAGGGACGAGGAGCAGAGACAGGGGGCACAAAACCAGGAGGCAGGAAGGTGTAGGATGAGGAGAAACAGGGAGCCCGTGGGAACCCCAGCAGGCAAAAGGTGGCAGCTGTAGGAGCAGCAGGCAACCATGAGGCCGGAGCCAGAAGGACCCTTAGCAAATGCGAGGCAGGAGCAGGAGGGGACCTCAAAAGAAGAAGGAGGTGTAGGAAATCGGAAGGGGCACCGGGGGAGGCAAGGAGGAAGGTGAAGGGGACCTCGGCGAAGGCGAGGAGGAAGGTGAAGCCACGGCAGGCGACGGCGCAGCCACAGCTGGTGAAGGTGCAGTTGACCGACGAGCCGGAGTGGGGGGACCCACACACGACTGACGAGTCGAAGTGGGGGCACCCGCAGGTGACCAACAAGGCGTTGCAGCCAGGGCTGAAGGTGGCCTATGAGACATCGGAGAGGGACCCGCAGGCGACCACCAAGCACCTTAGGGGGCATTGCAGGAACCACAGGAGCAGGAACCTCAGCGGACGTTGCAGGAGCCACAGGAACTGGAAACTCAGGAGCAGGAACCGCAGGGGCAGGAGTCACAGAAACAGCGTCAGGACGCCTTCTTTGCGAGCTTGAGGAACTGCGGGATGGCGTCCTCAACTAACCTGGCCCCTTTTAAGGCTAGGCGTGTACCCTGGAAGGGACGAGCTGCTGGCGCTGGCCATGTAGCGACGGCATCAGGCACATGCTAGTGCGTCAACCAGGCTGTGGTGGCTTTAGGCAGACAAGCTTCGTATGGCTGCAGGGAAGCGGTGGCGATGTCACGGGCAAACACTGCTGGACTCAGAATCGGGAGGGGTTCCTCCCGACACACAGCAGGGCAGACAGTGGAGAGGGAGATGGCCCCTAAGAAGACCTCTGGTGGCGGAGATGGGAGCAACTCTGGAAGCTCCAGCAGCGGACCAGGGGGTATTCCGCTGTCCAGGGCCACCCGCCGCATCATCCCATTCCTGAGCTGCTGTAGGTTAAGACGTACCTCTTCCGCGAGGAACGCGTCCTTTGAAGGGGAAATCCTCCCCAGGATATCCCCCGTGTTTGCAGCCAGGGAGCGAGCCACAGGGTCCTCCTGGACCTCGGGCTGTTGTAGCCAATAAACCGCCTTTTCAACGAGACCGAGGTATTCCACCTCGGTCAGCGGAGGCGTCTTTTCGCTGAGTCGTGTCATTCTGTCACGCTGGGAGCAGAAAAGCAGGCAAAGGGAACCGTAGATACAAATAAACGGGGTTTATTCAGACTCAATCCTTACACATGAACACAAGAACTCATAATGTCATTGACATAACTGGGGAAACAGACTTGAACGCAGACTGAAATACACAAGACTAATAGCAGGAAGCGTAGAAAGTAGGGATTCCATGCAAAATTAACGAGGGGGGCGTGGCACATGGAGGGATCGAACGCTTGGGTGTGACAGTACCTACATTACTTGTTTGACAAAACCTGTTAATATGAAATCAATCAGGTGACAGTTGCCCTTTTTTAGGGATCACATGACAATAAGGAGATGGAGCCATTATCACCTGCTGATCACAATGAGCCAAACACAGAGGTAAATATGCACTAGGGGCAGTCATGCATGTTTAATTAAAGAACATGTGTTGATTTAATACAATACTGTTAATTAACCAGTTTTAGACTGAGCTTAGGTAGGGATATTGTAGTGTTTTTGTATAAGGAAAGTAATTTATATGTGAGGTGTTGTACTTGGGTTTTAGATAAAGTACCCAGACTCTCCCATGGTGATTCCAGTCCACACTGGTTTTACTGACTCAATTCTGTGGCGTCACAAACATTCCCTTGTTGTAATACAGCTTCACCTTCTGCTGTTCACAGGTTACAGAGGAGAGCAGCACTGAAATCTGATGGATTCTAACCACACTGTGTTGTTGTCAGATTGCCTACAGACTTAAGTTTCCAAGTCCTGTTGTATAACCAAGCTGGTCAGATGAACAGTCACCAGATTATCAATGATCTGTTACAGTTCATTTCATTTGACTTGAAAGACTTTTCTGGGTAGCAGATGGACATTTGCTTGTACAGACTGGCATGGAAAAGTGTATCTGCAAAGACTCATGAGCTCCGTTATGCTCATTCTGACTCTTGATGATTCCTGTAATTACTATGTTCTCTTTGATTATTGATGGTGTCTTTGCTCAGAACATGGAGCAAACAAGCCGTGGGCATGACTTTGTGGGTCCTGCATCATGTTTTTGGGTCTTATGTACTTTATATGATTTCATGTAAAGCTTGAAAGTGATAAATTCAAAGAAATTCAGTGTTTGCTGTTAGATTAAGTTTAAACAATCTTAAGCTATTTGGTGCTGCCATACTGAGTATATTTGTAAGGCTGTCGGCTGTTGACCTGAATGTCTTCTCTGTAATGGGTGTGTTGTGTGGAAACCTTCAGGTTTTTTGGGATCCACAATCTCCCAGCACCTAAAGTGGGCGGCCAACATAGACACAATTGTCAAAAAGACCCAGCAGAGGATGTACTTCCTGCTCTAACTCAGGAAGTTCAACCTGCCTCAGGAGCTGCTGATCCAGCTCTACTCTGCAATAATCCAGGCTCTTCTCTGCACATCCATCACAGTCTGGTTTTGTTCAGCCACCAAATGGGACAGGAAGACACTAAAACTGACAGTCAGGACTGCAGAAAAAAATCACTGGTGCTGACCTACCCTCCATTCAGGACTTATACTATACATGCCCAGAGTCAGGAAACGGGCAGGCAGAATCACTGGAGACCCATCAAGCCCTGGTCATAACCGATTGGAACCCCTCCCCTCTGGCAAGCGCTACAGAGCACTGTACGCCAAAACAACCAGACACATCAACAGTTTCTTTCCACAGGCCATCACTCTGATGAACACTTAAGTGTCAAGGACAATACAGACAATACTGCAGTATCTACTATATACTATCCACTGTACCTCATGAATATATATCAACCAGCATGTTGCACTATGACCTTCTGGCTTAAGTCTCTTCTGTACAAACTCTTTAATTGATCATTGTTTGTAGTCCCCTTTTTTATGTCCTCTTTAAGTAAAGTAAAAATGCCAAATGTCTCTTATTTTGTTTGGTTACTTATGGTTAAGGTTAGGACTGGGTAGGGGTTAAGGTTGTCATGTTGGGATTAGAGTTTTCACCATAGAAATGAATGGAGAGTCTCCTCAAAGATATAATTACAAACCCGCATGTTTCTAAAACGCACCTCTTAAATTTCATTTAATTATACGCCACTGACTATAGACGTGGTTTTTGTAGGTGAAATGTGCAATGCGCAGAAATTGCACCCAGCCACGCCTCATTTAAGAAACCCCACTCCTACAAGCGGGCTACCAATCAGTTTGGCTCTTGAAGGAAACACCCCCACAGAGTAATACCAAAGAGAAGGGAAACTACCAACTATTATGTCAGAAACCACGCTGGAAAGGTTTAAGGACTTATTAAGCAGGGATTTATTATATTTGAAGCAGCCAAAATCCAATATTCAAATCTTAGACTTTGTCAGGGGCGAAGAGCGAAGGGGTTGAGAAGCTGGGGAAGGTCAGTCCTATGGAGAGCTCACAAGGCAGGGAGGAACACAAAGCAGGAGCAGGGACTTCATGATCTGGAACAAGAACATTGAGGATAGGTTGGGTCAGGGCTGCATGAAAGACAGGAAGAAAACGCTCAGTAAATCTCATAGAGAATCAATACCTCACACTGAGCGTGAGGTGGTTCCGATGTTTACATGGAAAGCTCCAAGAGCATCTCTTAACACTAATCACAACGGGCGTATGTCATATTTTGCATTAGTATTACTCAAGAAAACGCAGCAGAAACAAATGTGCAGCAACTCAACACTTTACTTTTATCTTTTTAATCCCTTCACCTCCAGGTCATCAGTGACACCTAGTGTCCGTATGTCAACATAACATTACATTTTCAGATAACACAACATTTTCCCCACTCTTAAAAGAATATTACTCGGAGGAAGTTATTTAACATGGCCTAATTGCATTCGAAACAAGATCATGGCCAAAGAACAACTACCTAACTATACCTAATTCACCAATGTTGACGTAGAACATTAAATTCTCTCGTTCTATAACACAAGACATGCATATTTCTTCCTATTCAGCAACAAGTACAAACTTCAGCATATCTCAACACAACACATACTGTCACAAAAGCACCAAAACAATGTAGAACTACTATTCAGCATCAACACATAACTGTATATGAAAATGAACAACTTTACATTACTGTTGTAGCTCTACTATCGTGATGAATGAGCATGTGTGGGTACAGTTCAAGTGACAAAGTCTTTATGCCAGACAGGTGGGCGTATGGTTCTGGGCTGTCTATGGGTTTCAGGAGTGGCAACCAACTCTGGAACCCCTGTAGGTTCATTATCTGAATGGCTTTGTCTAGTACATGGTGACAGGTGTGCTGCGTTCCACACTTTCCCATCTTCCAGGATATACGTGTCCTGGCTTTTCTGTCCTACCACTGTAGACGGCGGACTAAATTTAGACCTGCTTTTTTTCACATGAGCGGGTATCCTCACACGCACTCTGTCACCTGGTCGTAACGTAGATGGTTTCGCAGCACATTTGATGTCAGTGTAGGTTTTGACTTGAGACTGTCGAGCATGAACACAAGCTCACACTGTAGCATCTGTACAAGCAGAGGGCCTGGTAGGGAGAATGTTTAACTTCGTTCTAAGTTGGCGTCCCAGCAAGAGTTCACTGGGAGCAGCACCTGTAGTGGCATGTGGTGTTGTACAGTAGTGCAACAAGAAGTCCCTCACCGAAGTCTTCCAGGGCTTTCCTTCCAAACTTGCTGTCTGAACACAATCCTTCAGGACATGGTTCATGCGCTCCACAGCGCCATTAGCTTGTGGAAAGTACAAGGAGGTACGCATGTGCTTGATATTCCTGCTTGTGAGGAATTCAGCAAAGGTAAGTGATGTAAATTGCACACCATTATCAGTCACAATTTCCATCGGGTTGCCAAACCGGCTAAACGTTGTGGCAAGAAAGTCTGTAACGGTATCAGCAGTGACATTACTGATGAAGGCTATTTCTGGCCACTTATTGTGATAGTCAACTAACGTAAGTGCATACCTGCAATCCCAGGTTCCTAACTCGAATGGTCCCACAATGTCAAGTCCAACCTTTAGCTAGGGTGCAGCCGGAAGTGGTACTGGCTGAAGGGGAGGTGTATGTGTCTTGGCGCTTTTGTCGTGGGCTTGGCAAAGCAGACACGAAGTGATAGCGGACTGGGTCGAGTGATCCATGCCAGGCCACCAATACAAGTCACGAAGACGCTGTTTGGTCCTGATGATACCCTGGTGACCCTAATGAGCTAAGTTGATTAGAGCTCCACGCAACGATACGGGCGCCACCAAGCGGTATGAACCTCTAAAGACCAAGCCATCTCGTGCTGCCAGTTCATGCCTGATATGAAAGTATGGTGCCAGCTCAGGTGATGAGGTTCTTATTTGTAGGCCAGCCTGTAAGTAGTTGCTGTCGCAATGCTGACAATTCAGGGCAAGCAGCGCATTCTTTGGAGAACTCCTCCAATGAAAAAGCATGGGGTTCAGCTGCAAGGAATGCCACCATGTCGGGTTCAATAGCATTGTCAGCGTCCACACAGGTGGGTAATGGTAGGTGTGAGAGGCAGTCTGCTGTTACATTTTCGGATCCTGGCTTGTAGGATACTTCATAGTTAAAGCAGAGTAAGCGAGCGGACTATCTTGCAATGCGCATCCCAGCACGGCCCATACCCTTAGTTGCCAGCAAGGTAGTTAGAGCCTGATGATCTGTTCGAAGTGTGAACCGTCGGCCCCACAAAAATGTTCGCCACCATTCCACAGCCCAGAAGCAGGCTAGGGCCTCTTTCTCCACAATAGAATACTTTCATTCTGCAGTCGAGAGTGAGCGAGAGGCGAATGCAACAGTATGCTCGGAGCTGTCGGCATGAATCTGAGTTAAGACAGCCCCTAATCCATAATCAGAGGCATCACAGGTTACCAGAGTATGCAGTGCTGGGTCAAAGATTGCTAGAGCTGAGCTGTTTACAATGAGCTCCTTCAATTTCTCAAAGCTTTTCTGTGCGCTGTCAGTCCACCTGAAAACACTCACATTCCTTAAGCATGCCCTCATAGTTTCCACCTCCGAAGCATAGTTCGGCACAAACCGTGAGTACCAGGACGTAAGACCTAAGAATGAACGCAATTTGGCTGCGTCCGTGGGAGCTGGTGCTTGCAAGATAGCCTGAATGTGACCGTCATTGGGTAACAGGCCTTGAGCAGTGATAGTGTGTCCCAAGTATGTAAGGCTTCGCAGCTGAACTTGCATTTTGCACGATTCAGCGTGAGACCTGCGTGCTGTAGTGTTGTTAAAACAGCCTGCAGATTGCGATCATGTTCGGCTGCAGTGCGTCCATACACAATCACATCATCTAAATAGTTCTGGACTACATGAAGGCCTTTCAGTATTGTAGCAATCATTTTTTGAAAAGCCGCAGGCGCCGAGGCCAAGCCATAAGGTACCCGAAGAAATCGAAACAACCCGTAGTGAGTGATGAAAGCCGTCACATCTCGGCTGTCCTCATGAAGCATTGCTTGGAGGTAGGCGTTGTTCAGATCGATGCTTGAAAACATTGTGGCTCCATGTAATTCAGTGAATAAGTCCTCCATGTGTGGAAGTGGATGGCTATCGATAATTACTGCTCTGTTCGGCTCGCGCAAATCCACACATCAGCGAATTTCCCCATTTTTTTTGCCGTCACCACAATAGGGGACACCCACGGGGAGGCATCCATCCACTCAATGATGCCCTCAGCTTGTAAGCGGCAAAGTTCTTTAGAAACTGCATTCCTAACTGATAAAGGAAGTCTGCGCAGTTTTTGTTATACAGGCTGTACTGACTATTACTTTCACCCGATGTACAAAGCCTTTAGCGCAACCGATGCCCTCTGTTGTTGCAGCTGTCACTTGTTGAACAATGGTTGGAGATGGGGGTGCGATCAATTCATTTCCAGCAATGTGAATGTTCAAGCCAGCTACTAAATCCATACACAGTATAGGAGTGCCTTTCTCCACAACATAGATGCTAGTATTGGCCACTGCATCCCCATACATGAGCAGATAGGCATCCGAGTACAGGCAGTGCTGCTTTTGAGTAGGTCACCAGTTTCACTTGTGGGGACCGTAAAGGCGATGAACTGAAATGCTGCTTATAAAGATGAGAAAGAAGAATCGAAACAGCGGAACCTGTATCCACAGTGAGCTCAATCAGCACAGGGCTCACTTCTTCAGTTTTAATGGTTACTGTGCATTTTATTTTATCACGCAACAATTTCCCTTCCACTTCAAATACATGCACGATTTCAGGGACCTCACTCTCAGGAGCATCAAGTAATTGCACCTTTTTCTCAGAGCGGCAAACCCTTGTGAAATGTCCCACTTTTTGACATTTATTGCATTTAACTTTAGTAGCTGGGCAGTTTGGGGCTTTAACCAAGTGAGAGCTAGACCCACAACGAAAGCAAGTATGACTGGACTGTGAAGTAGACTGTGATCGCGTTTTACCGACAGATTTTTGATGGAATTTCCGACGACGCTGTGGCATGCCACGCTGAGCAGGTTTAATCTCGTGTACGGAGACCGCGTCAAGCGCTTGTGCGTGCTCCACGGCGGTCTCTGTTTGGCCCGCCAACAGCATCGTGTCCGTCAGTGTTAACTGCGGCTGCAGCAAGAGACGCTCCCGAATACATGCAGAGGACGCTTTCTCCACTAGCTGATCCTGGATCATCTCGTCTGTGCAATCACCAAAGTTACAGTGTACACTGAGCTCACGTAAAGCAACAACATAGTCCTTCACCGATTCATCTGGCCGTTGAGCGCGTTGTCTGAATTTGTGTCGTTCGACGACGACATTCGTAGCCGGCTGGAAATGTTCTTCTAAAGCTTTAAAGGCATCGGTAACGGTCTGACCTGTATTAGGCAGCGTGTAGAAAACTTTCAACCCCTCGGCTCCCAAGCACTGTAGTAGAACAGCA